TAAAAGCATTTCATATTTAGTAACAGTCTCATTGATACGTTATGACGAAACTGCATTTTATAAAATGACTCATCATCATCATCATCATCATCATCATCATCATCATCATCATCATCATCATCATCATCATCATCATCATCATCATCATCAGGTCAGGCTTATTGCTTGACAATTTTTTTTCATAAGAACTTTAATTCATAATATAAGCCTACACAACATTATGTTCTACGTATACCTGTCTAGTAAATGTTTAAAATTTGATGTCTCTTTGACTGAAAATTCCAATGAACTACGCATTGACTCTGAGCATTTTTTCTTTTTTTAGAAAAGGGAAATGCATAGCATGAATGCTAGATTAATCATCGTCATCATCACAAGGGTTATCAGTATTTTTTCATCGTCGTTGTCGTTTTGTTATTATCATTAGAACTTAGAAGTGGGAAGTCTGACATTATTATAGCCATTGATGATGATAGACCTATAAAAGACCGACCCAGAAAATGACCGACGTCAAGCTGACTTTCCAATTGGGGTAATCTGTTATGAGGAATAACTTGATCTTTGGAAGAAAGAACATCTAACCCTATCCGTACACCCTGGGGTCATTTTGTACCCAGGGGATTGTATTTTTCAAATTTTAGAAGTCTTCTAGTACGAAGATCTCTTTGAAACTTTCAGTATTTCTCAAAAAATCATTTTGACAGACTGCTGTGCAAAGCGTAGGAGTAACGAGTAAATGCAGAGAGGGTTTACAGTAATTACTGTAAACTCTCTGGTAAAAGTCTTCTTTGGAAAGTGGTGGCACAGAGTTTCCTACGTCGTGGATACGATAGTAAAACACGACGTACGGATAGGGTTAAATATAGGCGTACACTTCTATCCCGGACATTAACTACCTCGGTATGTCATTTCCTTTTGTCATGAGGTAACCCACACTGTTGTCTCAAGATAGCGCGCGACACTCGGACACTTTTTCCCAAAACAGCTGAACACGAGAACAAAGAATCTATTTCGAGAACCCCTCTATCTACCTCGTTCTTTGCATGAATGGATGTAAGTGGGAAAGAAAGGTGTGTGTGTGTGTGTGTGGGAGGGGGTGGAGGGTGGGGTTTGGTGGGAGGGAGTGGGAAGGGAAAGGAGAGGTTTGACTTTTCTGCCATCCCCAGACTAAAATAGCAAACAAATTGCGTTTATTTTTAGACATTACGTAGAGTTATGGACATTATATTTTACATTTTGCTAAGATATACCAACATTTAATTCCGTAGAGGGGGGATGTTTTCTTATAAATCTTGGCGAATAAACACAACATTCTTGCTGGGACCACCTGGTGAAGCCCAGCTCGCAGACGATACCATAGCGAGCGGCACACCAGGGCCTGATAGCCAGTGGAAAATGTCGACTGGGAACTGTCTTTGTTTGAAAAGAAAAAGAGGTAGACCCTTTAGCCTCTATACCACCTTTCCCTTCCCCTCCCAGATAATAGATGTCCCCCCTCCCTCCCTCCCCCCCT